TAAACTTTACTGGAAATAAATAAAAAGTTGACAACCTCATGATCATTAGTAAAGTGTAAGGTCTGGACCTCAGTATTTTATTATTTTATTGCATACAGCAATAATAGTGAGATAAACCTAAACACCTGTATAACTGTGTCTGTGTAAACACACAGCTAGCTTAACGCTAAGAAAACAGCACTGAAATGTTGTTGAAAACAGATAAAAGATGCCCAAAAAAGAATATTTATTACTAAAGCCTTTATTATGGAAGTGAAATTAAAGCTAAAGACACTTTATTTTACTGGCACACAAACAATATTTAAATGGTTATGAAACTTTATATCTCACCATAAAAATGTTTTTATACTGCAGGTTAGCAAGTTATCCTAGCTTAGCCACCAAGTTTAAGCCATATAAGTCATGTTAGCTTATAGCTAACTATGTAAGCAAGGCAATGAATGAATAAGGGTGTTAATATTGAGAGTTTTTATGTAGAAATGTTAACCACAGTTCTTTCTTTAATATTTCTCATTACTTACACAGAATTTGGCAATTTATGGACCCGAATTAGGTTTTAATGAAGTTTCACTCAAGCAGTGAAATCATTTAGCATTCTGAATTATTTGTGGTAATAAAATTAGACATAACATTAAAATCCAGCATTATTTGGTGCACTGAATAAACAGCAGCAGTAGACAGTGCAGTGCAGGATAATTAATGCTTCAATAACGGCTCGTCCTTCCTGGTTCGTCTCCACCACATCACCACAACCAGACGCTTCAAAGCTGCTATTGAACTTGACTCTGATGTTTGAAACGGTTTCTTCTTTTAACCTCGGGCCGTATCTTCACCTCACTAAATCCTTCTGTTCGCTGCGTGGCAATGACAGACACAGCAACACCGCATGATTCAGCTGCAAATGAAAAACAAGCTCAGGAAGGGAGACGCTGGTAAACCCCAAGTTATTACAGGTTGTTCACTATCAAATGCACTGATTTATGCAGAATAACTTTGTTTACATGCAAAGATGCATGATGGGACACGATTAGGGACCAGTCTCCCCTCTATTCCTATATACTGTATGTCAGAAATGGAATATAATATTCATAGGTATGTTTTCATTAGTGTATAATCACCTGAATATAAGAACATGTATTCACTGACAAACATTGTCCCCCCATTAGGGGCCACCAAAGCTTCACAGGGGGGTTGCAAGGCCTTCTTGATTTTAAGGCGTGTAAGAAAACTTAAGATCTAAACTTTAAAGACCTGAACACAACTAATGTCCAAACGTCCATAACACAGATCAAATGTTACTATTAATATTAAGAAAACTGACAGAATATTCACAGGAAATAATCTGCTCAAAGTTCATCCACATCCCTCGTTTTACACACTGTTTGGGTTCATTGTACAGTTTATCAGTTGTCTGTACTGTTACTGTTATGCATTGAATAGAATATAACATATCTCTAAAATATGTCACTAAATATATACACAAAGGGGTCTCTTATGGAAAAAGCTTGCAAACTACTAAAATTAGTGGAGTGCACCTTTAAGGAGAATGAATTCCCTCCACTGTCTTCATGTGGTCTGAAGTGTCCTGTCATGTCAGCACATGTAACCAGAGCGCTCTGCGTGGCTCCATAGCGCTGTCAGTAATGGAGTTTTTCTACAGTTTAAGATAAACACTTCAGAGGCGTGTTGGTGCTACGTGTGCTTAGCCCAGCAGGGTTTAGCCCTGGATGTTAGAAAGCAGAGCAGGATGCAGATCTGCAGGGTCAGTTGTAGTTCATAAGCTGTCTCTGCATCAGAACGCGCAGGATTTATCAGCAGCTCTGAGCAGAGGTCACATATAGCTGGGTCAGTCGGGTCACAGCTTCTTCCAGGACAAACTGACCTCTGCGTAATCCCCACATACTTCCTGCTGGAGGGAGGGGAGGGGGCTGCACTTAGCTGGTCTTCGCCATGGGAATCCCTCCAGAGCGGCTGAGAGGTTGATAACAAACTGCTGAGTCACACTGTGGAGGAACGGAGGACTTTAGAAAAAGAAGCTCTGATCTCTATGGAAGCCCTCTCAAAGCACAATACAAAAAAACATTCTCAAAATATTGACTTAGTGTCTTAAAGTATTGACTTTGTGAAACTAAGTCAATATTTTGAGTAAAGTTTCTCATTATAACGACTTACAGAATCCTTTTTTTCATCACATTGGCAGAAATAAGCTTCCATACTGAAAAAATCTTATATTTTGGGCTCCTTCTGATTGAAATAACTAAAACTTTATTTGTCATAATTTTTCTTATTTGAAAATGTTTTCTTAAAACAAGATGTTTTCAATAATGCTTTATTTATAGACTGACCATTTTTCTTTTTATTCTATCTTGTCTGAGGTTGAAACGTTTTGTTCCATTATGTTTCAGTATTTAGTTTTTAAAGTGGTTCTGTGGTTGTGTTTTGTTTACCTGCTCAGGGACAACAGATACATGTTAGCTGTTCGCTAACTCTGGTGTGATTTCTTTAATTGTGCTCAGTTCCTGCAAAAATAAATAAATAAAGTATGTCGTACTTGTTGTGTCATCAATTATTACACATTTTACTGTTCTGTTTTCTATTTGTAAGTGTTTGTTTGGGACCCTCTTGAAGACGAGATGATGCATCTAAAGGGGTTTATCCTGAGATAATAACATTTCTGAGTCAGTATAAAGAGTACCAGTATACTGATGCTAATATTGTTAAATTGTCTAAATAAGTGTATAAGTGTATTATGCAGGAATAAGACAAGGTTGGTCTTTTGGACACACAATATTTTTTTTTCCTACAATATCTTAGTCATTTCTTCCTGAACAATATGGAGGAAGCATGCTGTTTCATGTACGGAAGAAGCAACAGTACAGGAGGAACAGACATCAGCTGAGCGCTCAGCTGATTCCCTTCAAGCATCCAATTGGCAAATGTCATTCAGGGCGCCGTATTCAAGCTGCCTTTAGCCTGTATATATGTGGAAAGTTTAAGGCGAGGAGAGCAGCAGCAAGGCATGCTGTCAAATATTACATTCTGAATTTGGTCAGAATCACTTTTATTGGCCAGGTATGTGCACTCATACAAGGAATCTGACTCTAGATTATATATATATATCTGTATATATAAAGATTGAAGCTGGAGCCACAGAGGAGGAGAATCCACTGTCCCTCCAGGTGAGCTGACTGTGCTGTTCATTGGTTCAGTGAAACAAACACTGGACCAGGAGCCACTTCTTCAGTTGGTTCAGGGATTCAAATGAAACAGTTCTTTGCAAACACTGCCATCTAGTGTCTGTGAACCAGTACTACAAAGAAAACCTCAGACAGGAACACAAACATTACACAAAACTGATCTTTTTTTGGTCAATATTAGGTCTTCATGCTTTCAGAGCAACTGCACACACTGCTTTTAAGACATGTTTAAGTAATATTAGTGCTATTAGTCAAATTATAGATTTATCAATGGACATAACTTTAATTAAAGATAGTAGTCATTGCATAATCACTTATCAGTAGTATTTATTAAGGCAATATATACCCAGTATCTTCTGATTCCAGCTTCCTAAATGTTAAACCTACATGAACAGAGAAACGTTGCCAGTTCTGTGTTATACAAATGTTATAGACTGTATGATTGAGGGGAACCTTCCCTTTCTTTCTGCTGCAGGGTGAAGTCGCTATCATGCATTAGCTTGTGTGAGTTCATCTTATCTGACATTAATAAAAACGCCCAGTGAAAAACAACTGGTGGTTTGTGGAATAACTCCATATTCAACCAGTCAACCAATTTAATGAGAAAATATGTATTTATGTGCCTCCTTACAGACATTTATTGGATATTTTCCAGGGTGTATTATTAGTACACTGTAAAGAAAAATGTCTCAAACAGTGACAAAAGAGTGACTCTACACAGGTAAAAGCTTCTGTAACAGTAAAACACTGTGATATCTAATGGCAAAACCTTGATTTATACGGTAATGTAGACAGAATAAAGTCGTTTTTTAACATTACAGACTGTAAATTTCACAGAAAAACCACCGTCATAGCATTTATATTGCTTTATTATTTTCATATAGAAAAACTGTTTCTTTTGATGGTAAATACTGAATACTAATATTGTTTTACCATAATAATGATAATAAAAGTTCTGCTGCATTTATTACAGTAAAGTTCTGGAAACCACAGCTGCCGGTTTTTCACAGTAAAAAGAACATTTGCTTTTTACAGTGTAGGCCATGAGACAACACATTCTGCTGCTGTCTTTATATTCTGGTCAATATCACCTCTGAGAGTCAAAATAAAACTTTATTGCACAGAGGAAACACAGAGTTATTGTTTGTGTTCAGGGTCCTGTGGTTTCCCTCACTGTGTTCATTTAGTCAACGAAATAACCCGGAAAATAACCGGGTTTTATCCTCTAAAAGTCAGGACAGACTGACAATGTCTCTACCAATAATATCTAATTAAATCAAAGCTGTGTGTTCCACCTGTACAGTGTTAAGTGCATTCAGTTGAGCATCAACAAGTGCTCCAAAGTGAGCGGCAGAAGCAGCCTGTAGCGGCAGTGGATGGCAGGGGGCGCACAGAGGCCAGAAACCCGCACACACCGACAGAGGACGGAGGAGTATTCCCACTAAAACAAGTGCACAGAGAAATGAACATTACCATCCAGTGCGCAACACACATCTGAGTTATTATCCCCAGGAATGCTCCTGAAGCAGTTTACAGTCAGAAACATCTAATGAAGTCACATCAGTGGCACAAATACACAACTCCCTGTTTGATATCGTTCAGAATGTGATCAATGATGGAGGGAATAAGAGTGAAATAGCGGGAATATCCCAGTGAGCGCAGCGCGAGGACATCCAGTATAACTGAATATTAACTATTGGAAGATTCCTAACGCGGTGTGTGGTGTTCCAGCGCGGACATTGTCCTCCAGAGGGACATCGGGATTGTGCATCTGCTCCGCTCTGCGTGCGTGCGTGCGTGCGTGCATGCCAAACCCACGCGCGTGCACGTGCGCATGAATGCGTGTGCGCGCAGGCGGAGGATCGCCGTAGTCGAACCGTACCGTGCAGCAGGCACAAGCCGCTGGGCGCGCAGGAGAAGCCGCAAAAAATTCGAGCAGCCGCTACTTGAACCTGCGAGGAGCGCGTCGGAACTTCAGAGTGCACGGTAAGAGCCGCCGCCCCGGTGCCGTCCGCCGCCGGTACTCCACCGAACTGACGGAAAGAAAGAAAGAAAGAGAGAAAGAGAGGGCGCTTTGGATTCTTGTGGCTGTTTTATTTATTTCTTTCATCCCTTTTGTCTCTCCATCTCTCCGGTAGGGCAGCCGGGGCGCGTGGATGTGTGCGCGCTGAGAGTCAGACAAAAGATCCGGTAGATTGGATGGAGAGAGAGAACGGAGGGAAAGAACTGAGCCCAATTTAAGAATTTACAGAATTAATTCTTTCTCTATCCTCTTTTTTTTTTTTTTTTTTCCAGGCAGAAAAAAAAGAAATGTGCACGAGCTTAAAAAAGGGGTGTGTGCAGTCTGGAGGAACACGCGCGCTCAGACACATTCTCGGTTTTTTTTTTTTTTTACACTTTTATTGAAGAGAAAATGCGCACAGGCTTCTCTTTATCGGTTATTGATTATTGGTTTGTGGTTATATCATTCCCGCCGGCTGCTAGGCAACGCTTAGAGGGAGCGTTTTTTTTTATTTTTATTTTGTTTCTTTCACATTGAGCCAGTGAAGAGCTGAACATCCACAGAGACAATCTGTGCTCGCCCCACCTCTTTGTCTGTGTGGAGGTGTGACAGCGTTTGGCTGCATGCAACTGGAACACACACACACACACACACACACACACACGCATTCAGTGGCTCTAACCAGATTATGTCATGATTCAGATGAATTATTGATCTCATATTTCCGTTTTATTGCACTGAGAAGAAGAAGGAGGAGGAGGATGGAGGAAGAGTAGGAGGGGGAGATGGGGATTTGGGGGAGCGCGTGTGGGATGAAGGGGGGGGGGTGGTGATGGAGAATTGGGGGTGTGACTGAACACATACATTAGGTTCATCCTTTCACTCCGCTGCTGTTGCTGCTGTATCGATGCTGGATGTGATTCCTGCAGCCAGTCAAACTTTATCAGCCATCCTCCGTCGGTTAATTGCCTGGTCCTTTGTTTGCCGCGGCACGCATGCGCACTGGGAGTAGGGTGTGGATGGGAGAGATGCCACCTCGCCTATCAATAGGATGGAGGAGAGGAGGAGGATGGAGGATGGAGGGGGTTTGGTTTCTGGGTCTGTTTGTTTTAAACCGGAGGAGAAAATTCTGATTCTAGAAATAAAATCGAGCTGCTTTGTGTGTGTGTGTGTGTGTGTGTGTGTGTGTGTGTGTGTGTGTGTGTGTGCTTTGGGAGATGCTAGACGGTGTGTGAATGGAGCCACAGTGATGGTGATGCTGTAGCAGAACAAACAGTTTTTTCACTGTAGATTACAGAGTACAGAGTATAGAGCTGAAGTGATTAACAAACAATCATGCTGATAATCAATTAAACTGATCAATTATTATCAAAGCAAACATTCAGCACTTCCAGCCTCTTAAATGTGACGGTTTCGCGGCTTTAACTGAATATTTTGGGGTCTTGATGGAGATTTCTTTGTTTCCTGTCATTTCGATGAAACATCTAATTTATTATTCACAGAAATAATTTAAAGATTAATCAATAATACAGATTTGCATTAGCTGCAGCGCCTAACTCCACCAACTGGAGTCAATACAAAGTACTCCTATAGGTGCTCATACGGTGTACAGATATTCCTCTAATAGTCATAAAGAGGCCTACTGTGTGTTACTGCTCTTCTAGTGGTACTGTTGTCTGTAGTATGTGTGTTATCTTCCATTATGTCACAATATTTGCGTAATGCTCCTTTATGGTCATTAATTGTTATTATGGTGCTCCACTGGGAGTTTATACACATGTACAGTAATCTGCAGTGATGGAAAGTAACTGAGGATTACTCAAAGTACTCTAACACTTGTATTGTACCTGATGCTACTTTATACCTCTATTTTTATTCATATATAAATACATATACACTTTACAGATTAACATATGATCAGCTCATTAAAGACAGTTTTATATCTCGTTTAGGGGTTAAAATGAGCAACTAATACATTTAAATGCTGTTTACATGTTAGTGTGTGTGAGTGTGAGACTGCTGAAAGATCCCCTTCAGACAGACAGGTATTACAACATACAGTCTGCTTTGAACAATAATGTGTGTCTGAGGATAATTTCTACATTAAAATCATTAAAAAGGCGTCTAATCCTTCGACCTCAATACAAATTACACTGGTGGCTTCAAGTGTCTTCATCACATTTATAATATAAGTCAGACACTGGACTAGGGTTGACTTCCTGGTGTATTTGTGATGTCACAAATCATGCTCGTCGATCGGACTGAATTCTCAGAATAAAGTAACTTAAATACATCTTCTTTATACAAATTTAACGACTCAAGTTTAATTTACTCAGTTTCTTCCACTAAAGCAAAGAATTACGAGGTACGATAAAAACTATTTATAATTAATCAATTATCAAAATGGTCAAATCACAAAAACAGAAAAATTCTAAGTTGAATTTAAGCGCACTTAAAACTATTGAGTTATTCAACAATTCATTTTTGAGTTGAGTTTAACATGAATGAGTGACTCAAAACTGAAGTTATGTTAAATTATTTCTTTTACTATGATTATACAGTGTTGTTCAGTTTGTAGTATATCAGTAATATAGTATAGTGTGTGTGTGTGTAGTGCCAGATTATACAATATTTTAGATACAATACAAGATATAAACACAGTAACTCCCATATTGTACAACATGTCATCATAATGTGTTTTACATTTTTATAAATAGATTTTTAAACTGTATGAATGTCATTAATAATGTGGATGAATGGAGCATTCTGATTGGCTCATACGGTGCCATGTGACTGTGACGTTAGCTCCCGCCTGGAAACACTCGTCATACGTCTTCACCCTCTGTTACATACAGATGTTTCCAGTCTCTCTGACAGCAGCTGTCCATCAACAGCCTCAAAGATGCCTTCACATATTAATAAACAATTTACTAACAGCGTGGAAACATAATCAATATCATGATATTGATTAAAACAATAAGACAATCTCAGTGTTACATCAATATATGACTCACGTCTACTGAAAGCTATAGAGACTTGTTGAATTGGTGAAGTGTCTGCAGCAGTGGTCTCCTCTAAGCCCTGTTATAAGATCGCCATGGTAACGGGGGGGGGGGACTGTAGTAATGTGTCCCGTCTGTCTGGCTGCTGATTGGCTCTCATAAATCCAGCCCAGAGTCCTCTCATTCATCCAGCTGGACGGAGACAAACAGCAACCTGATGAGAAGTTACGACGGTGACTCATCCATTACCGCCACTGTCTGCAGCTCAAGGTGTGTGTGTGAGGGAGAGAGAGAGAGAGAGAGGAGAGACATAGCAATGATACCTCGCTCGCCCCCCTCTCTGTCTGTGTCACACATTGTCTGACACAGGACTCTTTTTTTTTTTTTTCTGTCTGACACACACATTCACTATATGGCCAAAAGTATATGGACGGGAATTCATAGGGTTCGTTGAAGTAATGTCCACATACTTTTGTCAGAAAGCAGAAAAGATGTAGACAGTACGTGTGTGTGGCAGACAGAGACAGAGAGAGAGAGACGGTGAGCAAAGGGGTTTACCATGCTTCTTCTCTCCACTCGGAGACCCCGCAGGTCTTTGAAGGTCCCGTTTTTGTCTGTCTTTGTAGTCCCCCCCCTCCCCGCCTGCCACGATGTCAAAGATTAGAAACACAAAATGAACTTGAGGCTCCAGTGAGTCACGTGATTTAACAGTATCGCTTTCATGCGACGCAGTGTCCGTCTTAATTAAAGCCATCAGCCTGAGTGTGATGCACACGGAGGCTCGTTAACTTACAGCAGAGGAGATGAAGCAGGACAATGGGAGGCTGCAGCTGAGTGTGTGAGTGTGTGTAGAGGAAGGTGGGGAATGGGTGCAGCTGCAGGTTGAGTCACCAGTGCTGCTACTACTGTCACTACCACTGAAAAACAAGACAGTTTTAACTCAGTTGAGTCCTGAAATTCTCATAAAAAGGAACTGAGGTGAGGCTATTCTCACTAGTTTGGTAGAAATGAGTTTGAGCATCTTGTTTGCTGCTATAAAATGAATAAGAAATGATCAAGTTAAGTTGATAGAAAATATGTATTTGTATATGTGCACTGATGTGACACACTGTGTCTCATGGTGAAGTGTAGCAGGTATTATGGGTAGCAGGTTGTGTGTCTTGCTATAAGGAAGTGCAGAACTAGGTGGCTGCTATGGCTGGGGCTGGGATCCACTAAAACCACTATGTTTACAATCAGTTAGGAATATATGGTTGTTATTATTCAAATAATGTTTGCTTATTGTATTGTGTGTGTTTATGGCGTCTTGGTTGGTGTGACTGATCAGGTGCTAAATTTAAACTATTGTGTTCTTATTGTGTGTTGTGTGTGTCTCATGTCCGTGGAACGCCACCGGTTTTACACATCAGAGCTTGCACAAAATATGATCGGATGTCGAGTCGGTGTCATTTGTGACTTAGAAGTGTGAAAATAAAACTAATCTGGGCATGTAGACCTGTGTAGCCCGCTCCTCATCTCTGCTCGCTACATTAGCCGCTACTAGCAGAACATGCCCGAATCTCCGGACGTGTTTGAGGATTTGAGAATTTGACAGTATCTATGCAATTCTGTCCTAATTCAAACGCAGCTTGTGTGGTGAGCCGCTACTTTTATGAAAATGTTATCTTCTAAAAGTCCAATATGTAACTATCACCTGTCACAGTATCGACTCATAAAGAAACATGGATTGTAATATTCTTAATAATCAATAGTTCATTGCTATATAAGAGGTCGTACTTTTATTATTATCATTAGATCAGCGGCAAAAAATACAGTAAAGCAAAAGTAATTATTGTGACTCTCACATGGTATAACCCTTTTTACTGGAATTTACATCTATATTCTACATTACATCCTATCGCCTTTTGATCATGCTAGCGTACAGTACAGTAATGGACTCAAAATCAATAAAAAGAGCACCAGCGCGCAGAAAGTTGTGATGC